TTGTTGTGTATACTTTTTTTTTTTTTTTTGCGGTACGCGGGCCTCTCACTGTTGTGGCCTCTCCCGTTGCGGAGCACAGGCTCCGGACGCGCAGGCTCAGCGGCCATGGCTCACGGGCCCAGCCGCTCCGCGGCATGTGGGATCTTCCTGGACCGGGGCACGAATCCGTGTCCCCTGCATCGGCAGGCGGACTCTCAACCACAGCGCCACCAGGGAAGCCCCTGTTGTGTATACTTTTAATGAAACATGGCGACCTCCCTGGTGGTCCAGTGGGTAAGACTCTGTGCTCCCAATGCAGGCGGCCCAGGCTCGATCCCTGGTTGGGGAACTAGATCCTGTATGCATGCCACAACTAAAAAGTCTGTGTGCCACAACCAAGATCCCACACGCCGCAAGAGCCGGTGCAGTCTAAATAAATAAATAGTTAATGAAACGTGGAACGTATTTTATTATAAAGGGGAAAGTACCAAATACTTCACTGTTTATATCCAGAGAGTTTAAAGCCTGAGATAAGAAAGCTATCATTAAACAACAAATTCAAGAGATGCTCAAACTGGTTTACCACTGAAAGAAGACCTGTGAAAACAGGTTAGGCAGGTATGCAGATTGGTTGTCTCCCTCCTTGCCATTCTCACCGCACATCACAACTGAAGCACCCGGATGGGTCATCAAATGAGAAATTTAGCATTACACACTGAGAGCGCTGGAAACACTGGTCTTCACGTTTCCATTTTCCCTCTCCCAGCCCTGCAGCATGTTACTCACCTGGTTTTAATGCTGCACAAATATCCACAGTCTCATGCCTATTTGCTTTGGATGCTGTGTGCCGAGCTGTAACAAGATGTTGTTTCTTTTGTTATCTGTATACAGCTGCTTGCTTTAAATTAGTAGATTCTCAAATAGCTTTCCCTGCATGTCTAAAATACAAATACTGCATGTTAAAGGAAGGAAGGAAGGGAGGGAGAGGGAGTAGCTACATTCATTTCACACAGAGCAGATTTCAGAGCAAGGAAACTTCTCAGGGATGAAGAGGGTGTAATATAACGATAGAGGGGTTAAACCTCCAAGAAGATGCAACAGTCTTTGATACGCACACGCCGGACCAAAGAGCTGCAAGAGAAACACATGAATCCAAGACCACGGGAGACTGCAACAGCCTCCGCCAGAAATGGACAGCCCAGCAGGCAGGCAACCAGCAGGGTACGACAGACACCTATAGACTACTTCCATCCAACCACAGCGGACACACCTGCTTCCCAAGCTTACGTGGAATATTCACCCAGACCAAATTCTGGGACACGAAACACGCCTTAACAAATTTAAAAGAACAGAATTATACTATGCCTGCTCTCAAACCGCAATGGAATGCAACTAGAAATCAATAACAGAAAGACAGCTAGAAAATCCTCAAGTACGTGGAGATTAAACAATATATTTCTAAATAAAACATGGGTCGAAGAATAAATCTCAAGAAAAATATAAAAAATCTTTTGAAGTAAATTAAAATACAACTTATTAAAATTTGTGTGAGACAGTGAAAGCAGTGCTTAAGTGGAAAGTTACAGCATTGAATGCATATATTAGAAAAGAAGAAAGATCAAAAATCAATCATCTAAGCCTCCACCTTAGGAAACTAGAAAAAGCAGAGTAAATTAAATCCAAAGTAAGCAGAAGAAAAGATAATAATAAAAATAGAGCAGAAATCAATGAAATTGAAAATAGGAAATCAGTAGAGAAAATCAACAAAACCAAAAACTGGTTCTTTGAGAAAATAAATAAAATTAATAAGCCTCGGGACTTCCCTGGTGGTGCAGTGGTTAAGCATCCACCTGCCAATGCAGGGGACACGAGTTCAAGCCCTGGTCCAGGAAGATCCCACATGCTGCGGAGCAACTAAGCCCGTGCACCACAACTACTTAGCCTACGCTCTAGAGCCCGCAAGCCACAACTACTGAACCTGCAAGCCACAACTATTGAAACCTGCGTGCCTAGAGCCCGTGCTCCGCAACAAGAGAAGCTACCGCAATAAGAAGTACATGCACCGCAACGAAGAGTAGCCCCTGCTCGCCACAACTAGAGAAAGCCCACACACAGCAATGAAGACCCAACACAGTGAAAAATAAAGTAAAATAAAATAAAAAAGGAACTACAGACCCACACATTGCATAGACTTAAAGAAAGGATATTTTGAGACATTTGGAAATTTGAATGCTAACAGGATATTTGATGATATGAAGAAATTATTTTTAATTTTTTTGTGATGTGACAATGGTATTGTGATTTAAAATTTAAAAAGAACCTTTATTTTTCAGAGACACATAGTGAAATCTTTACAGATAAAATCATAGGATGTCTGGATTTTGCTTCAAAATACTACTGTATTAAGAGTGGAAGTGACTAGGATGTGAATAAAGCATAACTGGCAGTAAATTAATGACTGCTAGAACTAAGTGATGGGGGTTCATTATACTCTCGTGTCTGTTTTCATATATATACAAAATTCTCCAAAAGAAAACTTTTTTAAAAAGTAGTGTAAGAGAATTAAAAAAATTAAAATCCACTGTACCTTCCTCCAAAAAAAGAAAATATGAATAGCTCTATGCCAACAAATCTGAAAATTTACGGATAATATTCTAGAAAGATTATCAAAAGTTGACAAGAAAAAACAGAAACCTTCCCTCAAAGAAAATACCAGGTGGTTTTGAAGGAATGTTATAGGAAGCAAGGCACAGATGATCTGAGTCTCATACAAACTGTTCCAGAGTACAGAAAAGGAGGAACCATTCTTCCCAACTCTAAATTCTTTTATGAAGCCAGCACACCCTTAAAACTGAAACCAAACAAGAAAAAGTACAGGCCAACCTCACTCATCGGGACTGATACAACTAAATGGTGGAACGATTAAAGGAAATTTAACTCACATTAACATCAGAAAAGACAAGGATGGATTCTAATACCAATTCTGTTAATATGGTGATGATTATTGCAATACATTTTTTTAAAAAGATAGACTCATCAAGAAAAAAAAATTGACATTATTCACACATGGTGTGATTTTCTATGTAGAAAACCCAAAGGAGCCCAGAGATAATCAGAATAATAAGATAGTTGGACAAATCTGCTGGATATAAAGTCAATGTGGAAAAGCCAACTTGACAAAGGAGCCACAGTTATGCACGATGTTAACACTAGGGGAAACCGGGTGAAGGGCATGTGGGGATGCTTTATCTTTGTAACTTTCTTGTAAATCTAAAATTATTCCTAAATAATCTTATTTTAATAAATAATTTTTAAAATTAGTAAGTCTGACAATATTAAGTGTTGGGGAGGAGGTACAACAACAAAAGTTCTCATATTTAAAAAGAAAAAGTCTTATATGCTGTTGACAGAGGGCAAGCTGGAAACCACTGTGGAAAACGCTGTGGCATCATCTTGTAAATCAGAACATGTCTATACTCTTGGAACCAGCAATTCTACTCCCAAGTATATCCCCAGAGAAACTCCTGCACATATGGATGAGACTCTTTCCAACAGCAGAAAGGAAGGAATGTCTACCGGCAAGCCTGTGGATAAATAAACTACAGATAAATTGTGACATATTTACACATGGAAACCAAACGCCCATCAACACATCAGCTTGGATCATGTGTTCTCAAAGGGGATGAAGTCGACGGTTACAACTGGTCTGGGGAGATGTGAGCAATCTTAGATATTACAAAGGCCTGTCGCCCTCCGAAAGTCCCCAGTACCTAAACAGACTTATATCTGTGCTTTTAAAATTTCACGTGGGGAGGAAGGAGATGATAAGGATAAAAATGTCTAAAAAGGAACCTTAGGGGGGTGATAATGAAAAAAAAGTTGACAAATAATGACCTAGGTGAATCTTAAGAATACAACACTGGGGCTTCGCTGGTGGCGCAGTGGTTGAGAGTCCGCCTGCCGATGCAGGGGACACGGGTTCGTGCCCCGGTCCGGGAAGATCCCACATGCCGCGGAGCGGCTGGGCCTGTGAGCCGTGGCCCACGCGCATCCGGAGCCTGTGCTCTGCAACGGGAGAGGCCACAACAGTGAGAGGCCCGCATACCACAAAAAAAAAAAGAATACAACACTGAATGAAAACAGCAAGTTACAGAAGAATACGTATGATACTATTTACATAAAGTTCCAAACATACAAAATAATATACTGTCTAGGGATATATACATATTAAAACTATAATTCAGAATAGAAGTTGCCCTTGTGAAGTAGGTAGGAACATGTGGATATCTAGGAGAGGTATATAAGGAGACTCAAAAGTGTTGACTGTGTTCTTTTCTTCAACTGGGAAGAGTAAATACATAGGTGTTCATTTATTATTCCTCACCTCTAAAGTGTAAGTATATAAAAGTTATTATATACTTATTATATATTTTTTCTCAGTATATGTTATTATATACTTTTATATACTAAGTATATAGAAGTTATTTATACACTTTTTGCTAGTATGAAATGTTTCATAATTATAACCACTTAAAAATACCATACGTGGGGACTTCCCTGGTGGCACAGTGGTGAAGACTCTGCACTCCCAATGCAGGGGGCCCACGTTCGGTCACTAGTCAGGGAACTAGATCCCACATGCATGCTGCAACTAAGAATTCACATGCCACAACTAAGGAGCCCGCATGACACAACTAAGGAGCCCATGTGCCGCAACTAAGGAGCTGGCGAGCTGCAACTAAGGAGCCCACCTGCTGCAACTAAGACCCAGCGCAACCTAATAAATAAATAAATATTAGAAAAAACCACATATGAATTTAGGAGTAAAATCTTAATTTAACTTAAACTGCAAGAATAGTCTTTCCATTGATCACCATCCAATCACAATATTAAATAACATTGAACAATAATGTTAATGATATTTAACCTATGCTTTTAAAAACAACCATGAGGGGCTTAATTTTATTTTTCTTTTAAGATGATTAAAAAAAAAACACCAAAAAAAGCTTGAAAGTGCATACCCAGCCACCTTGCTGAATGATGTACTCGGCAGCATGGTCCTCCAGGAAAGTCACACCAAACTGCAGCAATGCACTCAAAGGTTCTTGACCACGTCTTGTCAACTCCAAAAGCATTTGCCGTAGCAAAATCAGAGGCACCAAAACCTTCAAGGCAAAGATGAGAGAGTAAAAAACAAACTGAAATTCTTACCGTTCATTTTATATGTTCAACTACTAGAAAATACACTCCAGTGTATCATAATGGAACTCCATTTTTATTATAATAAAGGAAATAAAATAGTGACCCCTACTGGAATTTTTGAGAATAATGCATGTATGTTTTATACCACGGGGTGGTAGAAATAATATTATATGAAAACAACCGGGCCTGTGTGTGTGTGTGTGCATGCGCGCGTGCATGCGTAACAACATATATACAGGAAATTCACTGAAGCATTATTTATAATAGCAAAAGACTGGAAACAACCCAACAGACCAAATTTTGGTCATCCAGTAAAATATCAAGTAGTTGTTAAAAAGCATAAGATCGTCCACTGCCCAATTACCAAGATTTACTTGCAGTGAAAAAAGATAAAGGAGAGTATGTACAATAATGGTACCATTATTATTAACATTATTGTTAACAGAACAAAACATCTACACACACGTTTGTATAACCCTATAGTATTTTTGAAAAATACCTAAGAAACTGGTGATAGTGGTAGCCTAAAAAGAGGAAAACTAGGTAAGTGGTGACAAGGGTGGGAAAGTATTTTCAAGTGTATGTCTTCTGTACTTTGTGCATTTTGTACCATGGCCTTTTATTCTATTTGAAAACAAGAACTTTCAAAATTATGAGCTATCTTATACAAGTCATCGAAAACCAGAGGTGTTATTATCACTCCTAACAACCTTATGGCTCAATATTTTAAAATCATAAAAATTTATTTCGGAGTCCCTAGTCCCTAACTGGAGTCCCTTTCCTTCCAAAAAAACCCCTGCATACTGAAAAGAACTAAGTACTTTCAATTAACTGTCTGCAGGCAGTCTCTTCTGTCTAAATCATCAAGAGGTCTCCACACAACTGGGAAGGACGTGAAAGGAAATGAAACCAATTCCAATTTCCTGTCACTGACCCGCCAAAGTCATAGCTGAGGGATTACAACACATTTCTGCAGAAGAGGACAAACAGACAATGAGTTTATATCCTTACTAATATTCTTTGGTTGTTTTTTTTTTTAAGTAAAAGCAGCCCTGAAGGAATCTCTATCAAAGTCTGAAAGAAAAATGCGAAAAACACACATCTTCACTTTTTGATATTCTAAAAGAACTCCAGCCCAAAATGCAGTAAAAACCCCTACTTAGCACCAATGGAGGGGTATAGAGCTATAAAGAAGACTGTGTTAGGCTTTTTCTACAATCAGAAACCTGTAACACTTTTGAAAACAGAAATGAACACGGCTGTTCATCCAGCCTAGTATTCTGTCTCAGCTGGAGCAGGAGAGGAGCTTGTGAACCAGCCCTACAGACTCACATCACACCAGCTCCAAAGGCCTGGGATGTTCCATACCTCAAAACATTCTCATTTCCCATAATAATCTACGAACATGCATATTTTAAAGTTATTCATGTTTAAGCTCTATTACCTCTTAAAAAAATGAGTTGCAAATATTTCATACTTGCTATATAAAAATAATACTCTTATTTGTTCCAAATTTACCTCTTTCATGTATCAAATGTAGTTGCCCCCGTTTTACTATGTAATAATCTAGAGATAAATCTGTAATCCTCTTTCACTACTGTCTTTAGTCCTTAACCACATTCCCTCTCATTCACTATACTTTTTACGCTGAAATCTACTAATTTAGTCCGTTCTTCACATAGCAATTCCTCCACTGTTTTTATCGTTTAAGTTATCCTTTCCTGGATCTTCTCCATCAATTTCGCATTTTATTATCATGTGTACACCTGATATCTAAACCTAATCCATTGATTAGGTTTGAATGCCTTTGAAATATCTGCTTCAAAATAAAATTTAAGAGACGAGACATTATGTGTCACTCCGTGTGATGCCACAGGAAATAGAGACTACCACCACTGACACGGTCTTGCCACAAAGATTAAACCTGAATATGATCAGGCCTCTAGAGCAACCTACCAATGGAAAGGAGATACAGTCAGCCCTTGAACAGCATGGGCCTGAACTGGAGGAACCACGGATACTGAGGGCTAACTGTAAGTGATACACTGAGTTTTCCCAACAGTAAATACTACAGTACTACCCCATCCGCAGTTTGGTGAATCCGCAGATGCAGAACTGCAGGTATGGAGGGATGCATGTATGAGGACAGGAGGGCCAACTTTAAGTTATATGAACATTTGCAGCTGGAGGGAGGGTCGGTGCCCCTAACCCCCGCATCGTTCAAGGGTCAGCTGTGCATGTTAGCTGGCATCTCAGTGATTCAGTCAATAAAATCCAGGAGGTAGAAAATTTAACAGAACAAATAATCTGTAAGTAATTAGAGAGAAAAAAAAAAAACCCAAGAGGAAGAGTAAGTCTGCAAATTAAGAGACTTAGGTCACATATTATGTGATCATATGTACATGAAATGCCCGGAACAAGCAAATTCATAGACAGAGTCAAGCCATATGGCCAGGGGCTGGAAGGAATAGGAAATGGGGAGTGACTACTCTAAGGTATGGGATTTCTTTCAGGGAAGATAAAAATGTTCTGGAATTAGACAGTGGAGATGGCTGCACAACTCTGTGATTGTACTAAAACACATTAGACTGTATATTTCAGAAGGGTAAATTTTATGGTATATGAATTATATTTCAAAAAATCTTTAAAGACGAGACATATCAACCAAATATAATGCATGAGCCTTGCCTGGATCTCGATTCAAACACATCAGCTTAGGAAAAGACCTTTGTGAAACAACTGGGAAAATCTGAATACTGAATAAACAGACTATATGCTGATATTAGAATGACCGTTAATACCTGAGGTAATCATGGTATTCTCAGTTGTTAAAAAAGGGATATAATTATCCCTGGAAATACATACTAATGTATTTATGAGGTGTGCTTCAAGGTAATCTAGGGGTACAGTGTGGGGAACAGATGAAACAAGACCAGACACATGCTGAGAGCCGCCGAGGCTGAGGGACGGACACGGGTTTGTTACATTATTTGCTCCGCTTTGCGCACGCCTGACATTTTAATAATGAAAGATTTTAAAAGATGAGTGATGTAATATGCCAGTAAAACTTAACCAAGGCAAACAGTTCACTCCTCTCTAAAGTCTGTTTATTACATGTGAGCACTGTGCCCTAACACTCTAGCCTTTCCCTTTAATGGCCATTCTCCTCTTTTTCTATAAGCAGTTAAGTTCATAGGAAAACCAATTCCCATGAGGAAAAATTAAAGAACAACCTACAATTCTGAGATAACTACTATGGATTATTTAATGCTTTGGCACACATTCCAATTATTTTTCTTGGCATATACATACTATACAGCCTACATTTATACATGTACTTTAAAAAAATCATTCTATTAATATGGGTTTGTGACAGCTTTATTCCTCCACTTCTTTTGATCTATTTAAAGAGCATTATACCAAGATGCTTTTAAAATCCCTATTCAGATGAACTGACATTCAGTTTGGAAACTTGACATGCTTGTGGACATTTTTTTTATTTGAGTCGTATGTACCTACCAGATAGCCATATTCATATAATGATGCTATATCAGAATTTTGCAAACATTCATGCAAAACATAAAATGCAAAATATGGGCTAATTGCTTAAATAAGCCAATCTGATTTTGACTGGGGTGGAAAGAGGCATTTCAGTTTCCTATCATAATAAGCCAGGTTCTTTTTAGCCCTGAAGGACTTAGGAGAGTAATACTGGATTCATCAGAGCAAGTCATATTCTAATTGGCATGCTTCATTTACATGAGGTATTCAAGCCACAACCTTGGCAAGATGAGGGACTAAAATGAAGCAGGGAATGGGAAAAAAGGATGGGTGAAGAGGGAGAGTAAAGACTGGGGTTTACGCCAATTTTTTAGGATAAGCATAGGATGGGGGGCGGGGGGGGGGAAGGCCGGGAGACATACGAGAGTTGATTGTGACAGTCCTAGACAAGGGTGACAGGAAAAGAACATAAAATAGGGGGAGAAGGCGAGTCATATTAGGTATCTAAATATTTGTTGTTTGATATACTAAGAAATGTATCATAGCCAAGCTCACTGTTATTTATAAAACGAGAGGTTGGTTTGTTTTATTCCACGAAAGCGAATGAAACAGTCAGATATTTTAACAAATTTTTTTACAGCTAAGTAACATACTAAAACTCCATAACAGTGACTATTTGGTAACAAGGTTCCATGTGTTAAATCTAACATAACAGCCACTGCTTACAGAGTGCTTACTATGGGTCCAGACACTGCACTAAAATCAGCACCGAACCACACATCATGTCACTCAGTTCTAATAAAACTTCTGCAGTTAGTAGTATCATCTCCACTTCACATATGTGAAAATTAAGACTTCCAGTGCTAATTTACCTGTCCAAAGATATGCATCTAGTCAGTGGCAAAGCTGATACTGAAACAAGTCCGATTACAGGCCTAGGATGCTAATGATTATGCTCTAATGCCTCCAAAGCCTGTATTAAGGTGAGTAAAAATAATATACATCTATTAGGTACCTAAGGTCACAGTCTGGCTCACAGTAGTGACAATTCTGAGTAGAGGTGGCTATTTGTAAAAATAACTGTACTGCACTTTCTCATCCCTAGCACCACATCACTAAGGGCCAGACTTCCTCCTCAGTGAGCTGGACCACCCCATACCGCATCCCCCGAGACTCGCCCCGGCAAGGTGACAAGTGGGGGTAATACAGCCTGAGACAATGGATCAGCAGCATGGTTCAGTGGAAGAACACTGAGGCTGGAATCAAAAGATCTCAGCTCCAGTGCTGGCTCCAAAATGTACGAGTCAAGGGGTCTTAAGCAAGTCCTTTAACTCTTTTCCTGATTAATCACCTGACCTAACTGACTAGCTAACTAAACCAACAAAACGGAAGTTAATAAAATTCATTCTGCCATCTCGGAGGGGTGGCTGTAATGCTCAGATGGTACCCCTGTAAGAACCACAAGAAGCTGTGTCCCCAAAGCATACTCACCTGTGAACAAATGACCACCTGGAGAGAAATGTCACATCTAAGGCAGAGAAATGAAGAGATCATGGGAAATTCAGGACAGATGGGAAGGCAGATGGCACAACTATGGAACATGTGGTTCTGCGCCAGCCTTAATCAGAAACACTGCATAACACAGCTGGATTTATGCATTAAACAACAAGCTCTAACAGTTTTCTCTTGTACGATGCTATCAATCCCTCCTGTACTTTATCACTAACACACTAAAATCTTGTAAGAGAAACGATAACTTGGTTTATACCTTATTCCAGCCGCTGGCATGAACTGTGGTCTCCACTGTACATTCCCGATATGCCTGATATGTCAATGGCCTGTAGAGATTTTTTTAAAAGTCTGTGTCACAAAGAAGGAAAATTCTAAATTTCCAGATAAATAAACATACAGTCACTACTTTGCTGTTGAACTTTTTGCTAAAGTAACACAGATTTGTCAACATATAGTTTTCTGTGAGACATGGCTTTTAACATTTGGTATGCGTTTTTCTTTAAGCATTATCTACAGGCTGAGATTTATGCTACCAGCTTGGGAAAGCAGTTTACAACATAAAAAGAGAAAAATATAAAATAACAAATTTTTTACAATTGCTTGAAACTTATCCAACAAGGCTTCTATGTTGGAGATAAATATAAACACTTGGGTTATTAATACAGAATCAAGTAATAACAAATAACAAAAATTACCTCATTAATAAAATTGAAAGAACAAGTTAAACTTTTTTAACAAGTTAAAGGCAAAAAATGTAAAATATTTAAAAATTAAAGAGACACTGTCACTGGAAGACTTTTCAAACTGGGGACATAAGTTGGAATAAGCAAGGTCAATAAATGAGCTCTATTTTTAACCTGGAGTCTTGTGACACCCAACCCTGGGGCGAGGCTCTCCTTCTGATTATTCCTGTCACACAGACACGTTTACTGAGGGGATGGGCGTGAGTGCTGCATTCTCAGCGTGGGCCCACGTGCAAATTAACACCAAGGACAAAGACACTCCGTAGCAACTTACACATGAAGGCACCAAGGCTCTCGGACAACAGATTAGTAAAGATTGACCTCCCCCCTCCCCCCACCGCCTTTTGTTGGCAAAGAATTAACATATATGTAAAAAAGGAGAGGCGTCTTGCTTTTATAGGATTTTAAAATCCATTCCAAAGGCATTTTCTGCTCTGACCACCCCGGGTCTGTGATCTCTTCAGCCCATGAATATTTAAGATTGATAACAGGTACACTTACTGGTAGCCTATTGCTATGTTTTATATTTTTATACATTTGTGTTTTATATTCTATTGCACACTAGGAAACTGAAGCTCAGAAAAGCTAAGAGACTGTCCCAAATCCACAGGGCTGCAAGCAGCAACAGAGGAATAGGAATTCACACCCAGTTAGTGCTGGCTCCAAGGGACACGCCGCTGCTCCTAGGATTTTGAAATGGGCCATGACACACTGATGCCCCATGTAGCCAAGGAGCATCTGGACCAGGGTAATGAGGTCCAATAATCCTCATTATTATTGAGGAACACACCAGACTGCAGAGACTCGCTAAAAATAAAGAACCTACGACATCTCACCAATAATTTTTATAATAAATACATGTTCCAACTATAATATTTTTAACACATTGAGTTAAATAAAATATATTTAAAATCTGTATTTAATATCTTTACGTGGCTGCTAGAAAATTTTTAATTACATACATGTGACCTGCATTTTATCTGCTGGACAGTGTGTGGCTCTAGATGTTTCAGGAAACAGTTCTGATGACACAGGTATAGTTCTTTTCTGTAAGTCAATATAACATAACAGCATAGTGACATTGAAGGAGTTAAGATATGAGGGATGACCGTCTTAATAAGATGTTATGTGCGACCTTCCTGCTATCGCACTGCCATTAAAGTAAGCGTAGAACTGTTTGAAGGCCCGGGCGACACACTAGGTGGTTGTAACACAGGCCTGAAGCAGACACGCCACCGTCTAACCTGCCTGTTGCTCCCTGCAGCTCTGCTTGCGTGCATCAGTCCCTTCATGGCCTTTCCTGAACTGCCTGCTGCGCTGTGCACCACGCCAGGCCTTACGCGGAGTCTATCAGGCTAAAGTACTTTAGCATCCTTCAGAATGAAACATGATTTGAAACATTATACGTACACACATATATGCACATAAAAGATCCAGCAGATTAAAACACTCAAAGGAAATCTTTTTTTTTTTTGCGGTACGCGGGCCTCTCACTGCTGTGGCCTCTCCCGTTGCGGAGCACAGGCTCCGGACACGCAGGCTCAGCGGCCATGGCTCACGGGCCCAGCCGCTCTGCGGCATGTGGGATCTTCCCAGACCAGGGCACGAACCCGCGTCCCCTGCATCGGCAGGCGGACTCTCAACCACTGCGCCACCAGGGAAGCCCTCAAAGGAAATCTTAAACGTAGAAAAATAAGTAGTTAAAAAATCAGCCCTATCTAATGAGCTACTTGAATTCAGCAAAGAAGAAAGGGGAGGGGAAAAACTTTTCTTTTCTTTTTTTTTTTGGCTGCACTGTGCAGCTCACAGAATCTTAGATCCCCCGACCAGGGATCGAACCTGTGCCCTCGGCAGTGAAAATCTGGTGAAGTCCTAACCACTGGACTGCCAGGGAATTCCAGGGGAAAAACTTTTCAGATTGCTGGTGCTTGGCTGTATGAAGAGTTCAGGATTAGTTTCCCTACTTTAACAAAACTGTTTGGGGGAATAAGTAGTATTTTCCACCTTAAAAATACTGCCATCAACCTGTATAATACTTCTAGTTCATCATCAGTTATTTTCAGGATATTAATAACTTTTTGAAGTTGTTAAGTTTTGGGGGAAGACAAAACAAATATTCATCTAAGACCGTATTTTTTAAAATACAATTTACTTTGCAGTGAAAAGATCAATTTGTCCTGTATATCATGAAAAGGACTCCAAATACATATACTATCATACTGTTCTTCACATACATTGTACATATATAAAACTATAATGCTGTTCTTTGGAGAGCTCGTAATATCCCAGTAAAGTGGAAATGAACAGAGAAGCTAGGACAGAGGGAAATGACTTGACACAAATAGTCTGCATCAAAGCTGGAGACCACTTTTTGCCTTACGCTTCTCAGTTACTTTACTCCCAGTCCCAACTGCTTTTGCAAGTTCTTTACGTTTGTACTGGCCGAAGCGCGGGCTCCTTCAAATCTACAGACCCCATGCAAGTATGGCTGCCCTGGCTCAGCAGGGTGGGGCGGGCCTCACCTCCTCACAGCACTCGGAAAGCCACCGCTGTGCCTCCAGATTTCCTGTCTCAGTTTTACTTCCCCACACCCAGAATCTTCTCTCCACGTTTATTTTTAAACTTTCTATGTATAAAGTTAAGAAAATCCAAATATGATTTTCATTTCACTGTTTCTTATGTATAGCTGGGATTTTTACATTTGCTCATGTCACCAAAATATGCGGAAACAAACTGAATCATCCTTAGACCCAAACTGCTTTCTCCTAACAAATGGTAACGTATAAGCTTTGCCTTTGTGGAAGTAAGGGATTACTTTACTACAACAGTAATCTGGCATCTGAATGTTGGCCTCTTGAGTGAAGGAACAGTCTTCACCTTGTTTTAGTCGTCAATCTTCATTAAAAAACATTTTTTTAAATTCACACCAATCTGTTAATGATTCTCATAAAAGAATTAAGGGAAAAAAATTTTTAAGGTTTACAATAAATGACTTGGTTCTACTTAATATACTTTCATGATGAGCTTCTTGCCTTTGGCTTTAATAGCCAGCACGACAGCTAGGAAAGAAGTTTCCACAGTAGGAATGTGGCATCAGTTCCACAGGTAGGTGTGCAACCCGAAAGTGTAGCAACATCCGGGACACCCCAAATATGGACACAATGTCAATCCCACAGTACAATGAATAAAACCCCAGTCATTCCACTTACGCTGGTCACGAGGGAGTGCTGGTAAAAAGTGGTCAGCACAAGCGAAATAGCTTGTGTTTACAACCGGTGAGAGCATCTGTTGAAACCTGACAGCCCAACAAGTAAAGACAAATGGTCAAATTCATGCTGGAACAATTAAATCAACGCTCAAAACGCAAACAGAGATGATTCGGGAAAGCAAAAAAAGAAAAAGTACGGGCTTCCCTGGTGGCGCAGTGGTTGAGAGTCCGCCTGCCGATGCAGGGGACACGGGTTCGTGCCCCGGTCCGGGGAGGTCCCGCGTGCCGCGGAGCGGCTGGGCCTGTGAGCTGTGGCCGCTGGGCCTGCGCGTCCGGAGCCTGTGCTCCACAACGGGAGATGCCAGAACGGTGAGAGGCCCGCGTACCGAAAAAAAAAAAAAAAAGAAAAAAGAAAAAGTGAAGACAAGTAAGTGAGAAAAGAAGTGACACTGTTCACCTAAAATGGAGGCTTAAGAGCGCAGAGGCCGTGGGGACTCACCGGCTGAGGAGCGTCTGCAAGGCCCCGAGCAGAGGCGCCCTCAGCTCCTGCGACGCCTTCTCCCCGAGGTGAGCCAAGCAGTCCTCTACGGAGCTGTCGGGGTTTGCGGGGCTGAACACGGGCGAAGTGTGGCGGTCGAAGCCTGTGCTGGCGAAGGCTGAAGACGACAGAAGGAAAACCCAAGTTAATGAGCAACGTCAGAAGCTGTGCTGTAAAAGCTCAGGGGGTTAAGATGCCAACTACCGGGAACTAGCTGATAGTTAGCTATAAGCCAGTTAAAAATGTCAGATAATTGTCATGGGATATTAATGTTTCCTTTAAAAGGCCTTCAATTTAGAGGCTTCTTTTTTTTAAGGAAAGATTTTTATGCAAAATCTTAGTTTCAAGAGAAGAAAAAGGCTCAACTGACATGGCAAAATACACAAACCAATTCTGTCTATCACCGCAGCCCCGCTCAGTCAGAGAATAAGTGAGAGCAACGCCCAGCTCTATCACCCCCCCTCAAGATCTCAAGATTTGTTTCTACCTTTACAAATGTGGCTCTTCTTAAACCAGATTCTAATCAGTTATTCCACCTTAGAGGACCTCATGACTTTCATTCCCTTTTAGAGTGAACTTCCAAACTCACAATCATGCACATGGATATATTTTAAAAGTATACAAGCTGCCCACTCACACAGCCAGCTTCTCCTCTGCTCCCTCACTCCCTGTTACACAGACGCAGCCCTGCTCTAACTGCAGGAAGGAGAGGCCAGATCATCCCTGGTCCAGGGTACAAATGGGGTGCAGGGCACAGACCTCCAGGAAAGCAGGTGGCTTGTACCCACTCCCAAGGGTTATCAATAACCTCCACAAAGCATTTATTGCATTAATGCAAAGCTTGCTCCTAGAAGGCTGCAAATTTCACTAGAGTTAAATATGTATTTCTTCAAGAAAGCTATACATGGCTACAAAGTTCACAGATGCTGCACGGTCTGAGCAAGCATGAGAACGCCCACTCTGATGCTAAGTCTTGGGGAATACAGGTTCGATGAGGAAGTGCATATAAGCCTTCGTTGCCATTTTCTTTTCTGCCTTTTGCCCATTTTGCCATGCAGTACTGTTATCAGAAATGGGCAAGGATTAAAACAGAATTATAACATTAATCAGTTAAAAATGTCAGTAGGGGCTTCCCTGGTGGCGCAGTGGTTGAGAGTCCGCCTGCCGATGCAGGGGACACGGGTTCGTGCCCTGGTCTGGGAGGATCTCACATGCCGCGGAGCGGCTGGGCCCGTGAGCCATGGCCACTGAGCCTGTGCGTCCGGAGCCTTGTGCTCCGCAACGGGAGAGGCAAAAGCAGTGAGAGGCCCACGAACCAAAAAAAAAAAAAAAAAAAAAAAAAGTCAGTAAAGGAAAATAAAAGAGAACATTAACATTAGGTCTTGTTAATGTTCAAAAGGGAGCTGATTTATAAACACGATTTCTATTTTTTCTTGTTAAAAATTACTGGGCAGGGAATTCTTTGGCGGTCCAGTGGTTAGGACTCAGCACTTTCACTGCCGAGGGCCCGGGTTTGATCCCTGGTCGGGAACTAAGATCCAGCAAGCCACGTGGCATGGCCAAAAAAAAAGAAAAAAAAAAGAAAACAAAAAACCCAAAAATTAAAAATAAAAAAATAAAAATCACTGGGCAATACACATCTACACAAAAACTTGTACATGAATATTCACAGCATCATTATACGTAACAGCCAAAAAGTGGAATCCACCTAAACAGCCATCAGCTGATGAATGTGCTGCATCTACACAGTGGGGCATTATTCTTCATACAATGGGATGAAGTACCGATCTGTGCTACCACGTGGATGACCCTTGAAAATACTATGCTAAGTGAAAGAGCCGGTCACAAAACACCACCCAGTGTATGATTCCATTTACGTGTAGACCCATAACAGGCAAATGCATGGAGACAGAAAGCAGACGGATTGGGGATGGAGACAGGGGGCTGGTGGGACTAAAAGTGGGAAGTTACTGTCAACGTATACAGTGTTTCTTTTGGCAGTGTTAAAAATGTTATCACTGCCACCACCATCTATAGCACATGAGAAATGAAAGCAGCATACTTACATTTCTCCCTTTAGTGTTATTAATATAAAGATATCAATCACACTGAACGGAAAGTAGTACCTTAACATGACTGTGTAGTCCATTACTTAACACCAGAAAAGGTTCCATCTACTCTGTTGGGTATAGTTTAGAAACTTATAAACAGATTCCCCCAGGAAAGAAAGAGGTACTTTCTAGTTTCACCCCTATAATCCTATACCCATGAAGCTGTGTAATGTTGTGAACACTCCACTGTAAAAAAAAAAAAAAAAAACACCACACCAAACAACCCGCTAATTAACTAGGAAAATAAGGATAAAGAGACCTTCACAAATTTCTTTGTCCAGGGATTTTAGCTCTTCTTCAATTTCAGTTTTAACTTTTAATAAAACTTCTTGATCCAGAGATTGTGAAGCTATATCCTGTTGAACCCCTGAAACCAATAAGAAAGGTTACTAGTGAAAGAGGGGGAAAGAAAACATTAGAATATGGGTAGGATTTTAAGCATTAAGTCAGAAAATACAAAATCAAAACTCATGATCTTGACTAGGGGCTAGGAGATAACAAAGATGAGGAAGCTGAGGCCTGGGTAGGTTGTCCCACGACTATGGAGGAGCTGTGACTGGAATTCAGGCCAGTGTGAGTACAGAGCCACTGATGCAGCCTGTGTCCTCCTCCTCATCTGGCTGGGCTGCTAGGAAGGAAACAGTTCAGAAACAGTTTTGACATAACAGGAAAGGAAACCTAAAAGGCTGTCTAGATCAGTGATAATGTCTCCTGAAAATGACATTCACGGCCCCTTACCTTCACATCTTCTTGCAAACTGCAGCTTAAGAGAGAAGGCCCATTATCATCAAAAGATTTATATCCTCCAAATTAAGAAAACCATGAATATACCAAAAGTATGGGGCACAAGCTATTCTCATGCAGTAAAAGGAAAAGTAAGGTCCTGGTCTGTAGCACAGAATGGAGAACAAAGAGGAAGACTCCAAAGGAGAAAAGTAAACCAGATGCTGAACAATTTACTCATTTTTCCTGCCCCAGATATTTGGGGCAGAGTGTCATCATTTCATCTGAAACCTTGAATCCAACCATGATAGCTCACTCCTCCCATTCAGAATATATTTATTTTATATATTCCCAGTACTTTTACAGTTGTTTGTATCACTGCCAAGTTTTCTAAACAGAGGTTTTAGGCTTTAATATGCTTTCATCCTTTGCAAACAAAAAATTCTGAATTCAAAGATGAGCTTACTAATTTAATTTAGGTCAAGAAACTTATAGCATCTGTAAGTCTTTAAAATTCATTTGAAAACTAAAAGGTTAATAAACATTTCTATATCTCAGATTATCTGATTAGATTTCAACTTTCAAAGTTGACCAAAATAATTTTCCTTCAGGCTACATAAAACACTTTCCTTCTGAGCTGAGACTAACTAAAATAAAACTCAGACCCTCAAAAGGATTTTTTGTGGAAAATATAAAATTCCTTAGGTATTTCTAGTTGAAATGCAACAGAAAGGATCCCCTCAATGTCATGGTTAATATATATTTTATTTAATGACATTTCATTTAACATTTCTGCCTACATATATATATATATATATATATATATATAAAATATATCTTAGTTGAAACTATATACATAAAAATTTTAAAACATTACCTAAAACAATATGCTACTAAACAACCAGTGGGTCACTGAAGAAATCAAAACAGAAATTAAAAAATACCTGTAGACAAACGGAGACAGAAACACAAGAATCCCAAATCCATGGGACGCAGCAAAAGCAGTTCTAAGAGGGCAGCTTGTAACAACACAAGCCTACCTCAGGAAACAAGCAAAATCTCAAATAACCAAACTAACTTTACACCTAAAAGAACTACAAAAAGAAGAACAAATGAAGTGCAAAGTTAGAAGAAAAGAAATCATAAAGATCAGAGCAGAAATAAATGAAACAGAGGCTAAACTCAGAAAAGATCAATGAAACTGAGAGCTGGTTATTTGAAAAGATAAACAAAATTGATAAACCTTTAGCCAGACTCATGAAGAAAAAAAGAGAGGACCCAAGTAAAATAAAAAGTGAAAGAGGATACAATCCACACCACAGAAACACAAAGGATTATAAGAAACTACTATAAACAACTGTACACCAATAAAATGGACAACCTAGAAGAAATAGATAAATTCCTTGAAACATGCAATCTCCCAAGACTGAATCAGGAAGAAAAAGAAAATATGAATAAACCCACTGCCAGTAATAAAATTGAATCAGTAATTAAAAACCTCTCCCAGGGCTTCCCTGGTGGCGCAGTGGTTGAGAGTCCGCCTGCCAATGCAGGGGACACAGGTTTGAGCTGTGGTCTGGGAAGTTCCCACATGCCGCGGAGCCACTAAGCCCGTGCGCCACAACTACTGAGCCCGCGACGTGCCACAACTACTAAAGCCTGTGTGCCTAGAGCCCGTGCTCCGCAACAAGAGAAGCCACTGTAATGATAAGCCCGCGCACCGCAACGAAGAGTAGCCCCTGTTTGCTGCAACTAGAGAAAGCCCACACGCAGTAACAAAGACCCAATGCAGCCAAAAATAAATAATTAAAAAAAAAAAAAAAGAATCTGCCTTCCAATGAAGGGGACAAGGGTTTGATCCCTGGTCAGGGAACTAAGATCCCGCATGACACCAGGCAACTAAGCCCAAGTGCCACAATTACAGAGAAGCCCATGAACTGCAAAGAAAGATCCCGCATGCTGCAACTAAGACCTGACACAGTCAAAAATAAATTTTAAAAAAACACACAATCTTACGCAAAATTTGAAGACAAAATGTATCCTATGAATAAGGTAATCTTTGTAAATTCTCAAAAAGCATAAACATCTATCTTTACATATAGGCTTTGTTTTTCCAATTTTTTTTTTTACTGTGGTAAAATACATCTAACAAAATTTACCATCTTAACCATTTTTAAGTGTACAGTTCAGTAGTATTAAATACATTCATAATGTTGTGCTACCATCCATCTCCAGAACTCTTTTCATTTCGTAAAACTGAAGCTCTAGACCCACTACACAGTAACTGTCCATTACCTCTTCTCCTCAGCCCTTGGCAAACGCCATTCTACTTCTCTCTCAATTCTGACTACTCTAAGTACTTTATGCAAGTGGAATCATACAACATTTGTCTTTCAGGAACTGGCTTATTTCACTTCCAGACTTGTAATAAATCTCAAGTACTGCTTATAATTAGAACAGGTTTTCCTTTTAAAAGTAATCTGTAGTTTAGATGGCTCTACAACTTCACCGATTAATATCATTACACTAGGTAAAGTGACTTCCAGAATATACGTAACATTATTAAAACAAGGCAAACACAGACTGGGAAATTATTTGGGGTCAATCTTATTTCTTTCACTGAAATTCTCTCTCTCCATCTGGCTTCCTCGAAGGCGTCTCAGTAAAAGGGAAGGTAAGCTTTGAGGCCAAGCATTCCAGCTCATTACATGTGACTTTAGGCAACGAAAATAATCTTCCTGAACCTCTCCTCTTACGTAAACAGGAAAATAATACCTACCACAAAGAGAAGCTGTCAAGGGCAGTGAGATAAATTAGTTAAGCTCCACCACATCAAAAATGCTCAAAAGATAGTGGCTCCCACCCACCAATCCTTTTGACTCTCTAAAATGGGTTGTTACCATTGCACAGTGATCTTTCCCCAAACCTTGTCCCTGTGAACAGAATCAGCTTATCATAGATTTCTAATCAATGATGCTTATACAGAATCTGCTTTAAGTACTCTAACAGTCTGGACCAGCAGAAACAACCTTCTGACAGTTTAGATAATGCTAAGTGACATAAAGTGTCTGTTATAACACCAACAGTTACTCTCACTCTTCAATTGCTGCAAGAGAGAATGGCTTAATATCAATTGATCGAAAACTAAAATACAGAAACTTCCCTGGTGGTCCAGTGGTTAACAATCGTCTTGCAATGCAGGGGACACCGGTTCGATCCCTGGTCGGGGAACTAAGATCCCACCCACATGCCGCAGGGCAACTAAGCCCACATGCTGCAACTACTGAGTCCACGTACCACAACTAGAGAGAAGCCCGCGCACCACAACAAGGAGCCTGCATGCTGCAACTAAGACCCGATGCAACCAATAAATAAATATTAAAAAAATAAAACTAAAATATATATTTTTCCTGAACACATGTCCAACAGAGTTTCATTAATTTATATTAAAAAACACAGAAGGAAAGTTAATTTTTTAAATATAAGGGTACATTTCACAATAAATTCATCTGGGAAGTTTTACCAGGAAGCTACAGTTCTGAGTACCAGAAGGTCCCTGGTTTTCCAAATTTCCAGCAGATGTGACTGCCTCAAAGAGACTTGCCTTCAAACTTTTTCCAGGCTCAAATAATCTCTGGCGTGCTCAACAATGGAAGAATTTTGATCAGTCACTGCCATGAGCTACAGTGAACACAGTACTTTTAAGACAAACCCTTCTCTTACCTACCTGATCCTCCTTCACATGCACTTCCACAGCAGAAGCAGGGTGAGCACCATGCTGAAGAGCTTGGGTTAGCCTTTTAAGTTCTGCAAAAACATCTCAAACTCAACATCGGCCAGCTTGCTTCTGACCTGTCCTTAATCAGAAATACAGAACTCCTGAATATTTCAGACTCTTTCCAGGGAATACAACCTGCTGGATGAACCTTTTTATAAGGCTTCCTGACAAGAGAAGTAGTCCCTCCATTCCTTGCATTCTAGATTTTATACTCAAATTAAGCTGGATCATCAGAAAAATCCCCAGATAATATTACCTATTTGTTATAACTGAGCTGCACTTTGGTGCCATTTCCTTAGCTTTTATCCACAATTACATTAAGGAAGTGTCTTGAAATGTAATACAGTATTTGATATTGACATTTTCTACTGCATTTCTCTGTGCCTTATGTAATAAAGCTCTAAGTGAAAAAACAATTCTCTTAAAGAATAACATTCCACTTTAAAGAAAATAGTATAGCTTCTGGTTATGGGAAAAAAATCCTGGGAACTAAATGCAATAGTCCCCTTTGTGGTTTCAGTTACCCGCAATCAGCCACAGCTGGAAAATACTGAATAGTAAATTCTAGAAATAATTCGTTATTTTTATATTACACACCATTCTGATTAGTGTCGTGAAATCTGGTGGGGTCCTGCTCCATCCCACCTGAGACCTGAAACACACCCAGCATATCCAGACTGTATACACTATCCGCCCATTATTATAGGAAAACACCAGTACACACAGGGTTTGGTACTAACCGGCACCGTTCCAGGCATCCCCTGAGAATCTTGGACCATATTCCCCATGGAGGAGGACCTACTGTATACCTTCACTTATTTTTGGCTTTGCCTCAGAACCAAATTCACTGCTCAATGCTAGGATTA